ACCTATTTTAAAAACATTGTACATGCTACTCTTTTTATAATAATCATTATTATTATTCAAGAACCTTACGTATATATTTCACACTTGCTAAACCAAGCAAGATCAGTTATTTTAGCTATGGAGGCATTTCAGATATTTATCTCTGCTCATCATCAGAATTACATCCTTGATTGCAAGAGTCTAGGTTTTCCAGACGTTAATTTGTGCCTTGCATCAGTAGAGTGATTTGTAATTAGCTCTGCAGTGTCGAATGCTCAATAGGTTGTGTCCACGCAGTACAAGAAAAAAAAAGCAATTTCCTTTCCGAAAGGTTTACTGATTGCCCGTGGTGCACAGGCTAGTGTCCTCAGTGTTTTGCCATGGAACCGCACAATTAAACCAAGGTCATGCTGAAGAGGAATTTTCTGCTGATTAGCTGGGATGAGATGAACGTGTCTCACAGGTCTGGTTATGGTGCGATTTACCGCGTCCGGGAAGCGTGGCACGCACCTGCTTTTGAGATGGGAATCGATAGATCCTATTGAACTCCTAAGCAAGCCCTTGACATATACAGTACATCCCTGGGCATTTGGCTAATGTTACCAAATTAAAGCAAGTGGTTCCTGTAATATAGAACTATACAAAAATATTCTGCAGGCTGAAACATTAAGAAAATAAGACCAGACACAAAGACATGCATTCAACCAGATATTAAGTCAACAAACAAGAGGTACTTGATCTGCTGCAGGAGTACCCATGTGAGCCATACAGCTTTAGTTAACTTCATAACTTTTGGTTATGTTGGTTATGTTATAATATGGGGTTATAATAAAACTCACAGACCTTTGAAAGACAATGAATACTGAACATAAGTACATTTCATTCAAAGAATAAACACGCAGCACTAAATCTTAATTCTACCATTTTCAAAGTCTACTATAACCCTGTAAAATCCTCATTTAAATCCAGAATTGCTCCCAAAAGTTTCTTTTCACCAGCATCTGACATAAAGTAACAAGATGTAATATATAGACGACCTGTTACATCCCTCTTTGGCCTTGTGGTGACACTGTTTCCTGTTTTACTTTGGGTTAGGCTGCATTTTGGGTTCTTTCAGTCTGCCGGTGGTGGTTTGTTTCTCCGAGTGACTTTATCCGTAACACGACCCTACATGATAAGGATAATACTAAGCGTGGTGATGTTTGTGTGCTTTGTGATAAATAGATCTACATCGCTGAGTTTAATACAATATTTACCAATATTTATAAATAAAAAATGAACAACTGACGAGAGGTGGAAAGTTCAGGACCAGAAAGTACAAATCCAGACCAAGGTTTTGTTTCAACCAACCAGTTGAGTACTCTGTGAATATGACTCCTTATGCTCAACTGGTTGGTTGAAACAAAACCTTGGTCTGGATTTGTACTCTCTGGACCTGAACTTTCCACCTCTGCAACTGACTAATGTGTCATGATTTATCGGTCTGCCGTCAATACAGCGAATGACTTTAGCTGAATATCGCTTCATGATTGCTTCAGTTGGCCTACGTATAATTCTGACCTGCGCTGATTGTTCCAGAAATTTCAGAAGACGCCATTATAAAGCACACAGGTTTGGAAAGTTCTGGTCCAGAAGGTACAAATCCAGACCAAGATATTGTTTCAACCAACCAGTTGAGTACTCTGTGAATATGAGTTTTTATATTCAACTGGTTGGTTAAAGCAAAATCTTGGTCTGGATTTGTACTTTCTGGACCAGAACTTTCCAAATCTGAAAGCTCACGCAGCCCAATGTCTAATGTTCACTGGATAAATCGTCCTTCACTCGATTATCTGCTGCGACCTGGAGATTTGCATTCTGTATTTATCTGAATTTGCCATTACGGGACCGTGTCCAGAGCGTCAGCAGGCAAACGTTTGTGATTCAACTATGCAGGAGAATAATGAAGGTATCTTGCGTTCAGATATTGACCATTACAAACAATCACTGTCTAAGACAATAAATTATTGAGGCATAGCAGCCTGAACGATAGATTCAGTCTGCCGTATAAAATTATGCCTTATAATATGATTTGGAGTTTGGGCTGCTTAGTTATTTCATGCTTCAGTGTATCAAGGCAACTACAAAATCGAAATGTGAGCTCATATAATTACAGATTTTGTCATTTAAATATTGATAGGCCGCATAACGTGTTTTGGACAGTAAACAATAGCAATTAGATTCCATAGACTACTTGAATGAAACAAAACCGAGACTGGAAAGGTTATACCGTCGAAAGGATTGAGTACGAATGCCTTTATTTATTGTGCGCCATTTTAACACCACAGCGCAATGCGTGTATCTGGAAGAAGGAGACAGACGTCGACTGCTCGCCCACTGAAACAGAGCATCGATGAACTCAACGCAATTTTCAAAAACAACCACTAGAGGTCAGTCTACGACTCTATGGTATTGTAGCCTTCGATTTCCTTTTACTATGAAGTATGCAATTTATAAACGAAACATTTATTTCTGCAAATAATAATAAGAAGAATAGATAATTTTACTGTAACCGCCTACAACGTCATTTAAATACAAACGCCTCGAAATCCACAAGGAGTTTTTAAATAGTTTATAACCGGTCAGGTATACTTAACTATAGGCTGCTTTCCCAGGTACACGTAGGGAAAAAACAAAACTTCAGTGCAGTGAACTTTGAAACTTGGTGAGTTGTTATTAATTTGTCTATACCGAATTTCACACTTGGGATCAAACACAGGTACCTATCTATCTGCCCCCGCGCTATTAAAAATCTTTCTGTCAATCTAATTACAATTACCATAATTTTGGATCTTTGGTACTTGATATAAATGGGCATATCTTTGATTGTCCACAAGGTGGCGGTGTATGATAGAAGCTGAATGCGCTGTGTTGGTTGGAAGGAAAAGTGCAAGAAATGATCAGGAGAGAGATCGATAGTGATACGAAGGGGAACGTAACATATTAGTGATGAAATGCCTTTACAGTCTCAGCAATACAACTCCACAACTTTTACGTCGGTAAATGACTTTTAGTGCTTTTCATATCTGGGTAAATTATGTTGATTCATTCAAAATTCCACATATGAAGCGCAGAACTAGACCCATAAATTAAAAAATAATAATAACATATTGAAGCGACACCACACTAAACACACGTGCTAACCTGTTAAAAAAAAAGGTTTTTGTTTTCATCACGTAGTTCTTCTAAAATATCTAGCCAATTTTTATTTGATTTTTTATCTATTTGTTCATTCGTCATTCATTCATTTTCTATACCCGCTCGTCCTATTCAGGGTCTGGGGGGTCTGGAGTCTGTCCCGGAGGCTGGGAATAACCCAGGATGGGGCGCCGAGCCATCGCAGGGCACACTCACACACCAATCACTCACACTCACACACCAATCACTCACACTCACACACCTACGGGCAATTTGGTAACTCCCATGAGCCTCAGCGTGTTTTTCGACTGTGGGGGGGGAACCTCCACGACAACATGGGGAGAACATGCACATTCCACACACATGGAGCCAGGGAGACTCGAACCCAGGTCCCAGGGTGTGAGGCACATCCATTCATTGATTGATTTGACTATTTATTTATTTGCTTCCAGCACTATCAGAAAAAAGAGTAAAAATTTGTACCTTTTCTTGTCACCCTTGTAATTGTACCTTTTATGGTACAGAAATGGACTCTGAGGAACATTCCAAAGGTACAAACAGCATTAATGTACCATCAATGGTACAGAAATGTTCCCCAGAGTCCATTTCTGTACCTTAAAAGGCAAAATTATTTACAGTTAAGGGTACATTTGACAGACCCTTGAGGGTACAGCACCAGTGACAAGCAAAGGTACAAATTGGTACGCTTTTTTCTGAGAGTGCAGAGGTGTGAGGCACTTCAATTAATTAATTGATTAATTAATCAATCAATTGCTTAATTAATTAATTAGAGTGTTTATTTGTTTAGTTGATTGATTGATTTGGATTAATTATGTATAACTGGATTACAATTACGCTATGTAGTATAGTTCAGTATAGTGTTCATTTTAGGCGTCCAATATGCCAAAACCAACTATTGTAATAATTAATAACTACTACATACGACTATATTAATTGATTAAAAGTCACATTTTTTGTTGTCAATATTGAATAAATGTCTTTTAAAATAGTTTTCTATCATAACTTGTAAATTGCTTGCTCCATTTTGAAGTTGGTGGCTGTTTTCGTAATGTTTTCGTCGCTAGGTTTCTTGTGTGTCTTTTTTAAAACTTATGACAAACGTTGATGTAGATGCTGGTATTTATTTTTTAGTTTTTTTTATTGTTACTAAATTGAGGTGTAATTAGTTGTATTAAAATACAACTAAACACAAGTAAATAGTAAGTTGCTTATATTTTTCCACAGAAAATCTAATTCCGATTATTTCGTCTTCCACTAATGCACCTGTGCTTTACCTTTGTTCATCTGTGCGAATGAAACAAAACGCTTTTTTTTATAATAAGTGTAAAGCAATTGCATAGTCGATATTTTAGCAGTACCCAGTCAAGTAGATAATATTTGCCTTGTGTTTATAGGTTACTCCTGATAAGTATATTCAAGAGAATACCGCTGTGTTGTTTTAATTTTATGTTTTGAATTGAAGCTATCAATTAAAACAACCCACACTGACCCCGCGGCATGTTTTTAAGCATTAATTTCTTTTTTAAGAAATTAAGTATTAACTGATTGTAGGATGCAGTTTAAATTATTAATGTTAAAGAACACTTTTAAATTGTGACTTGCTTAGACCGACTGTCAATGACATGAACAACAAGTTTAAACATGAACAACAAGTATAACTGTACTTCACATTTGATATATGAATCTTTACACCTCGTTCCAAAAAGTATTTGAAAGTAAATATCATATGTGGAGCACTGCCAACTGGAACAATATTCTCTAGATTACCACCCGAACACAGTATTGAAATGTAGTATACCTTCAAAAACAGGAGGGGAGACCCTTTCATGCGCTCGCGGGGGGAATCCCCTCTTTTAAACCCTGCTTAAGACAATACGAATGGAGCGTGACTTCGGGAAAAGGGGTGTTGCCCAAGAGCCCATTGAGCACAAGGTACTTAGCTGGAGGCTCTCTCTCGGTCTTCAGAGCCATTAGCTACCTTAAATACTCCCCTGCAAGCCTTCAGACTTCAGTCTTCGGTGAGAAACGGAGATAGAAACACCGAGCGCCGCCAAATGTGGATAATCCTGCGCTGCTCCGCATTCGTCACCGATCAGAGCGGATTATGAACGGATTTGGACAGCAGCCATCTAACCCTCAGTCTAGCCCCGTTCAGCATCACAGCGCGCAGGAGCTCCTGGACATGGCCGTGTACTGCGACAACCTCAGCATGTACCAGCAGAACCTGCATCACCACCACGGCCAGAGGCCGGCCGCCCACCCTCCCGCGTACGGGCTGGGGGAGTACAACTCCCCGAGCAGCAACCCCTACCTGTGGCTCAACAACCCGGGCATCAACTCATCTCCTTATCTCGCTGGATCCAACAGCACGTCGTACATCTCGTCGGGATACGGGGCGAACCAGAGGCAGTTCCTGCCGCCGCACGCGGGATTTGGAGGGGCCGACCTCGGGTGGCTCTCCCTCTCCAGTCAGCAGGAACTTTTCAAGATGGTTAGACCTCCGTACTCGTACTCTGCTCTCATAGCTATGGCAATCCAGAACGCGCAAGATAAGAAGCTGACTCTCAGTCAGATCTACCAGTACGTGGCCGAGAACTTCCCCTTTTACAAGAAGAGCAAAGCCGGCTGGCAGAACTCCATTCGCCATAATCTGTCTTTGAATGACTGCTTCAAGAAGGTCGCAAGAGACGAGGATGACCCCGGTAAGTCACCGGCATAGTCGCGTGCAGGGTGCATGCATGCAGCCACCTGCAATACAGGCTTATAAAATTCAGCAACAGGTGACAAGCAGGAAACTGCAGGAGTGTAAAACCAGATGGGACATATTCCCTGTCTGTAATACATCCAGTATCGCTTATATAGTTCCGGAGTTAGAGGCACGAGCGGTCGGTCTGTTTTGTCGTATTTTTAATTTATCTGATTTTCTTTCGTGCATCAGGGAAAGGAAACTACTGGACTCTGGACCCAAACTGCGAAAAGATGTTCGATAACGGTAACTTCAGAAGGAAAAGGAAAAGGAGGGCGGATGCTAGTCAAGGCAACGTGTTATCGGCCAAGTCTGAAGAGGACAGCGGCGGGATAAAGCTCTCCGACACCGGCAGCATGCTGAGCTCGCCGCCGCAGAGCCTGCAGGGCTCCCCGGTGGGCGGCGACACCAAGCCCTCGCCGTCCCCCTCGCTGGAGCACAATCCCTGCTTCAGCAGCTTCATCTCCAACATGAACTCCGTACTTGCCGGGCACCACAACGGCGTCGGCGGCGGCAGGCAGTACGGATCAGGACTTTTGGCGGATCTGACGCAGAACAGGGAGAACCTGCCCGGACTTGGCTCCTACTCGCCCACGAACGGGGCGCTCGTGAACTCTGACTCCGGCCAGCATCCCAGCCGCCTCGGCTACTATTCAGCCAGTCAGAATACCAGCAATCTGGCCAGTTCGCTGACGAACCATTTCAGTGTAAACAATTTAATATATAATCGTGAAGGAACCGAGGTCTGAAATGAATTAAAACACGACCAACAAGAAACTACACACAACCTTATGTCATTGTAACGCCTAAGTGCCAGAATATATTGGTATCAAATAATATCCTTACTTATAAACGTTTTTCCTCTGGCTTAATTGACTTGGCCTATTAAATTAGATCATTTGAACTATTTGTTCAAACTTTGCATAACTTTGTACGCACAATGTGTTTAAATAATACATCTCTGTTGATCAGCTGTAGCCCCGTCGTGCAGTAGGTGACCCAGATATCACAAATACGGTGAAATGACATTGATTCCATATCAGACAAAAAGGTTGAAACAACGCTGATATTCAATCTTTCACTTTATATCAACATTGAATCAAGGTTTTGCCACCATCAATGTTTCAGTATTGAAAATCTGACCAAAAATCAATTCAGTTTCAACGTTGATAATGTAACACTGACCATATTTCAACGCATTTAACTATAATTAACGTTGAAACAGTAACATGATGCTGTCTGGGGAACCTGCGACCTGACGGCGCCTTGGAATTAGCGTGTCACACATAACGCACCTGTTAAGCAATAATTTCGTGATATTTGAAAAACGATACTTTGTTAAAGTGCCTTAACATGTCTGCTTATAAACATGTTTTTTTTTTTTATTTAAAGTGCACTCCTTTTTTTAGGATGTTTTAAATAAATTGTCTTATTTGAAATCAAACAATGGAATATATCAATTTGTAGGCCTCTTGTAAAATTATCTGTATTTTGGCGGCGTTCAATTGCAGAAAATATTAACTGTTGAGGATGTGAGCATCACAAATGAATGAAAAAAATCACGTGAAACATTTTCAGTAACAATTCACCCCTCGATACAGGACTTCCTTTAAGAGAGAAAAACTTTTTCGATTATCCTACATTTTTTCCCCCGCAGTCTTTTTTTGGTTAATTATGTATAGGTTTTACCTTACGAACTGTACATTAAACACTTTCGGGTATATGAGGATCGCCTTACATAGCGATTTTAACAGCAAGACTAATCTGTCCTTTGTTGAGTTTATATATAGATGCAAAAATCTCAAGCGAATTCGTAACTGGATCTTTATCCATAAAGCTGTCAAAACTTACTAGATAATAAAAATGCATCGTACAAGGAGATACTCCCAAAACACCAATTAACCATCTGTTTTATGTCTTTTCTCTGATTTCCAAAAAAAAATGAGTAAAACTGACAAGTTTCATCACAAGCTTTTTATTTAGATACGAATAAAACACAATTTACAATGTTATAAGTCGGTTACTAATTTGTATGACGAACTTCAAGTTTAACCGAGCGTTTGAAATAATCCGCCCCCCTCCGTGCGCCCCCTTAATTAAATTGTTCAGACAGTCAGGGCCACAGATATTTAACTCTTCATATTCACCCTCAGATTACGTGAGGAGTCTTATAAACCTGTATTGGATATTTAGCATTTACCCTAAGAATATTTAAACCGCGATTCAGAAAGATGGGAAAAGTTTGGACCTTGCGCCCCCCCGCCAGCGCTGATCTGGGTCCTTCGTCCATTAACTCCGGAGTCTCTCCTCAGCTGCGTGAAAACACTATAGGTGAGACTGAGACATTTTCCGCTTGTCACTTCAAATAAGCCTGATTTCAAAGAGTCATCGCCGCTGTATTTCCACCAGGTTCAAGAGTTCAGCTTTTCGTCTGGGGCGCTTTGCTTATACTCCGCTTATTTTACGGTGTATGAAAATGTGTCTTTTCGGACGATTTCTCCGTTTCTCTCAGGTCTCCAGGTTATACGCTGCAGCTGTTTTCTTATATTGATTGGTAAAGCTGGGGAGGATTTTACGACGACGTGCGAGGATGTTTTTCGTTTCGATTTATTTTACCTATGAGCGGTGAAACGCCCCGGAATAAAGGCGGGCGATTTATCAGAGCGCAAACCGGCACGCAGCATATCTGTCCTGCAAGTGCAGATAATCCCCCATCGAGGGCAGAAACAAACGTAATGTTGTTCCCGCTCTGATTTAGAAAGAAAAAAAGTACTAAATAGATAGAACCTACTCATAAAAACGCTTAAGTGCTTCACGTATTCGGAAATATAATTTTGTTATAGTTGAATGCATTTTTGCCTCCCGTCGTCTGGGACAAAGTAAAGTAGGTGAGATTTAGGTAACCGTGCCCTGACACAGAGGGTGCTGCCATTATGTGGGGTCCCCCCCCCCCCAACTGTGACCTAAGATCTAGGGCAAATTATATCACTCGGAGCACATTTTCCTCTTATTATCTATGTGGCTGGGCCCGTGGTGTAACAAAGACTGTATTTTGGGATAGGGCAGACACTAAGACAGTCAGGCCATTGACTGGGATCACTAGAGCCTAAGTATAGTATTTGTAAACTCAAATAGTGCAGTTATGTCAGTCTCAGTCACAAACCTGAACCATCACGATTGGGGAATGGGTTGAACTTTGTTTCCCAGTTAGGGGCAGTAAAGCTGTTTCCCCGCACGTAATCAACATGTGTTGGATCAGTGTCTGTTGCAGATGCCTTCCAACAGAGAGAAGTTTTGCAAAGCTACTCTACCTGGGATCTGTATTTATATCGAAATGAATAACAGCAGAGCTGCTGCCTCAAGACGATGGCATATTTGTAGCATCTTGTCCGGTGTTTCCCAGTCCAGTCCTCGGTGACCGACAGACAGTCCATGTTTTTGCTCCCTCTCAACTACCAGTCAGGGGGGGAGCAAAAATGTGAGCTGTAGGCAGGAAGCTGGGAGGGAGCAAAAATGTGGACTGTCTCTGGGTCTCGGAGGACCGGGTTGGGAAACACAGATCTAGACCAACAATTGTAGAAAAAACACTTCATTTATTGAGCAGATACATTTATCCCAAGAGGCTTCTTTTTGAGGAAACTGCAGGGCAGACAGTCCCTTGAACAGTGGGAGCTCAGGTCCTTGCTCAGTGGCCCAATGGTTAGATGACTCTTTTAACCCTGGGTTTTGAACCGGTGACCTTCCGCTCACAGTCCTAACGCGCCAAGCTACACAATACCTCCTGTTTTTCTAAATAAGAAGTAATTTGTACATGAAATATTTTAATATAATTAATTACAAGATTTCTCCTTAGATAAGTTATAAGTCCTGTGATTGGGTAAGTTTACTTAAACTTTATTTGGAGTTTTAATGTTTAAATTCTCCAAAAACAAAACAAAAAAAAGTTTAACCAGGAATTGAAATGGAACAATTCCCACAGAGTAATTCCATGATTACAGGTGATGTGGTATAAATTTCTGGATATATATATATGAACTGTCAGTCTTCCACTATGTGCTGCTATAAGCAACGTTGCCCTTTTGTCATTTCCAATGACAAGAAGCAAAAGAAACAATGACAGCCTTGTTATCTGTGTGATCTGGACAGTGAGGTGTTAATGGAAATAACCAGTGGCTGCACCTGGTCCTGGACTGAAGAAGAATATCTGTGGTATTGGGTTCCTCTGTGCTGCATCATGGCAGGATGCCTGATTGTCACACGCCCGGCTCCCATCGACACGCTGCGATTGCGATCGCGCCGCGCTTTGTCACGACGGCTGGGTCCGGCCTCCATTAGAGACGGGCCGGGTTTCCGTACAGTAATTCATCAGTCCCACTTAAGTCTTCAGCGGCACCACGCACCAGTACCCAAAGCTGGCCTCAGGCGCTGGTTCACCTCAGCGGCCCCGGGTGTCAGCTGGGCCCGGCCAGCTTTTGGTGACAGACCCCCAGGGGCAGGGACTGGCCCCTTATGGCCCCCCTCTTCCCCTCGCATCCCCTGGCCACTGCTGCCTAAGATCTTAATGAGGGGTTTCACACTCGCTTGGGGTCGCGACTCAAAGGGAACCAGCTCCAGTAATTAGAAGATCCAGACTGGGCCTGAGTTTGGAGTTGGATTAACTTAATCCCGTTTTCCCACGATACCGGAAGAGGAAGCATCGCTCCCCCTCCGTCAACGGACACCCGATCTGGTGTCTTTAAGACCTTGGAAAACAAAAGGAGTTAGGGGGTGGGGGGGGGCGTGTTTGTCAACAGCGCTGGGGAAGTGGCCTTTCCTAGTGCCCCCCCCCCTGCGTGAAGACAGGGTGTCAGTCTTCAGTCACATCTCCCTCGAGCCAAAGACACCCAGCATATTTTGCTAATGAGGCGACTGGCAGAACCATAAAAAAATTGTGTACCGGCCTTTTAAAGGCCAATCAATCCGAGACCAAACCATTTTCACCCTAAAATCACAAGCTGTTTATGAGCCTAGTTAACAACATCGTTATTAATCTCTCATTAATCTGGCCAGACGCACAGAAATATTCAAACCGGGCATTTCATTCCGAGCTCTGTTGTGTCTGCGTGTAGAACCTTAGCAGCGGTAAGCGTTTGGAGAAGGGGGACGCCGCGGAAACCTCGGAACCCCAGGGGATCATGTTGCCTGGAAACGGCGGCAAAGCCCTGGGGCAGAGCGGCCGCTCACTGAGTGACACGGCAGCAGTGATGAATTACTGCCGTATAAAGTTGCACTCAGCAAGGTGTGAAACATTACTTCCTTTAGCCATTAGGAGATCCTCTTACCTGACGGTGGCAGGAAAAGCTGCTCTGTCGCGGCCAGGAGCCTGCGGTCCGGTGAGAGAATACTCGGAGAATGTGGATGTGGGGCTATCCCGCTGTGCTCAGTCTTCTCCCACAGCCGGAACCCCAGGTTTTACGTTAGCTCCTGTATGCTAATTATCCCACGGTTATGGGAAACGCTCTTTCAGAAGTGAAGGTTAGTAACCTGTCGATTGTCGTTTCTGGTGCCTGGAAGCTCCCTGTTGTTTTTCTATTTTATGTTGGGTCAGATATTTCATCCAAACTAGAATCTTTAGCTGTATAAACTGTTTCAGATGCGAATGGTGTGTGGCTCAGTGGCTTAGGCCTCTTTGTCTGTTAGCGGAAGGTGACTGGCTCGAATCCCATTCTCTGCAAAATACTCTCACGTCTTCCCGGGCCCCTTGACCTCCCAAAATTTTCATGTGGCGCCCAATAAATGGCTTGGCCCTATGTCCGCACCCGAAGCTACGTCATAGACTGTAGCTGTGTCCAAATTCGGGTGCTGGATCCTTTGAAGCACGTTGCTTAGGATG